GGAAGTGAGGGGTGCGGGGGCAGCAGGCTAAGAGCTACAGGAGGGCGGCAAGCACATGGATTCATGGGCAGGGCTACTAGTAGATTATAATAGTAAAAATTTGGAAACAATTCAAATAGCCAGCAATGTGGAATGCTTATGTGAATTATGGCACATTTATTCATATATTTCTTTGCAGCCATTAAAGTGACTATTAAAAAGACTATTATAATGGGAAAAGTGTTTATGCTAAATGAATGGAAGAAAGAACAATAAAACTTTTGATTCACACTTTGATTTTTAGCTAGACTCTGAATACCATTGATATATAAGCTCCTTGAAGGCAGGGATCTTATCTTATTTATCTCCAAATCCCAGGCCTAGGACAATAACTGGTACATAATTGGTTCTCAATAAATGTTGAATTGGATGGACTGTTTAAAACTATTGTTTTGTGCGGTTAAGGATTGGGAGGAAATAAGAGATATAGGATTAATTGATGTGTTAGGACAGTGGGATTTGGGTGATTTATTTTTTCTTTTATATTATGTTTATTCAGTTAGCGAAAGTCAGTAGGGAAAAATAGTCAGATATTTGGGAGCTATTTGGTATTTTTACAAAATGTTTTTCTTTGCAGAGATGATTGTTTTAATTTCATAATGCTGAGAAGTGGGATGGTAGGGCCCTTAATGTTTTTCTTAAAAGAAAATGGGAGTACAGAGATATTGAAATCCCTTCTGTTGTTCCAGAGTCAGCTAGTAATAAGATTCACATTAAAAGCTATGGTTTTTTAGTTTATAATTCATTTAGTTTAGTTTCATCTCTTTGGTTAGTTTACTTTCTCCATTTTGAAAACAGTGCAAGAAGAGAGTGCAAGAATCACCAGGGGAAAGTTCACATATGTGTGATTTTAAGTATAATTGCTCCTCTTTATGGTTGACCATAAGATTTTCTGTCCTTTTTGCAGCTCACTCAAGGCCTATATGAATTCAAAGTGATTGTAGATGGTCAGAATTCCCATGGGGAAGGCTGTGTGAACGTGACGGTAAAGCCAGGTATGTTTCTCAGCCCTGACTGTGCCTCCATTGCTCCCTCTGAGGATTCCCAAGGAGAGGGAGATTTGATTTTAGGGGTTTTTAATTTCCATTCTTTTTTAAAAATACATTTATTGGGCAATTCCTAATTCAATGTAGAAAAAGATATAGGGTGGCAAAGTATATACTTTGGTTTTAGTTGGAACACTTCGCTGGGCAGGGAAATGTTAGCCACATGACCTACAGTGCGGTATGGCACTGAGCAATAGCCCATCTGCCTGAGAACTACTTCTCCAGTGGGCCATGCTGAGAGAGGACCATGTGTGGTAATTAAGAGATACAAGAAAGCCAGGAGCCTAGGAAAAGTATGTAGGAGAACCAGCCAAGTCGCTGGCCCTTTCTGATCTCTTTCCAGAAATGTGGGGTTTTATACACAGTCTTCCTCACAGAATCCCTGCCATTTCTCCTTCACGTTGGACACCAAATTCCATTATTCTTTTTAAGTGATCAGTAGATTACAGTGTGACAGCAAGGTATCTTGTTTTGCATTTTCAGAGATATTTGGGGGAAATTGGCAAAATGGTCCAGACATTGGCACAAATTCTTAATACTATTCTCTGTCTTTGTTAGTAATAGATTTTCTTTTAATTCCTTTGATTTTATAGCCAAGGTAATACTTTCTCTTTGTTAAAAATGTGTTTAGCATAAAGACCATTTGATCATTTCTCAATGAAAAGGCCACTGGGCTCTCAGTCATTCAGGTGGGCTAGAGTGAGTGGTTTGTGACCTTTCTAACACTCGGCCTACTCACCTCCCACATAGTCAGCTCCCAGGTGGTTGAGAAATTACTCATCTTTTCAGCACAGTTGTGGCAGGGATAGTTTGCTTTCCAACGCCTTTATTGCACACATTTTATTGGTTGTCACCTCTGGTCAGCTTGCCTGAAAGCAGTCACTTGCTACTTTAGTACTTTTCACAAACTAGATAGCACATGAGCATTGAAAGAATGCACAGGGTGTGGTCTTAAGAAAAGTCAGGCTTGCAAGAGGCTTAAACACTCCTGGGTGTCTTATGTTAGAATGCCAACCTTGTGACTTATACATTTGATGATGCTTCAGATGCACATTAGGTATTGGAAACATTTATAATCCACCCAGAGGTGGCCTGCTCTTCTTATAATTTACAAAGCCACTCTTTTAATTTCTTCTGGGTCATTTTCTTGCAGAGCCCCGTAAAAATCAGCCTCCTGTTGCCATTGTGTCGCCACAGTTCCAGGAAATTTCTTTGCCAACCACTTCTACAGTCATTGATGGCAGCCGTGAGTATTTACTGGGCACAATGTTTTAGAACAGCATTCACTGGATACTCTGGTCAAAGATTTGGACCAGCATTCTGCTTAGGCTTCTTGACCACAATATGGGAAGACCAACCATCTGAAGCAACTGATAAGGAAGTAAAAACCAGACAGACCCTATTTAAAACCCCCATGTGGCTTCTTTGAAGTAACATTTCTATTCTGAGATGGTAAGAAAGTGGGATTATACATGCATTTAGCATTATTTTAGTTGAAATTTTCTGGTTTTCAAATTTTCTTAGATGGAGTTGCCATTCTCAGTTATGGAAACAAAACTCTTTCCTATCATGGCAAGATGAGTAACTGAGAGTCTTAACTGAGGAGCTCTCATCCAGCCATCACTGCCTAACAAGATTGTCAGCCTTCTCCTGGAGAGACACACAGAATGTGCTCCACAACCCTGCTTGGCTCACTAACATTGTCTCTTCAGAGGACAGGAGAGGATCTCTGGGTCTTTGCCATTGATCCTGGCTATGTGTGTGTGTAGGAGGTTTCAGGCCTATCATCTCACCAATATTTGCTTGGCTTCTCTTGAGACCCATTAAGGCCCTGTTACCCTGATTATCTTGGCAAAGATAGCTCCTGCTTTAGCAGAGGAATCTCTAGCAGTGTTAGACATTTCATGTAGATAGTTCTGACAAGAGGAGGCTAGAAGAATCGCAGGCCAAGAGGTAAGAGACAGGACAGGAAGAGGCACTTGGGAGAGTGGTAGAAAGATTCGTATAGTACCATTTCATTTTATATTTTTGAATAGGTCAAAGTTAAATAATATGTAAAGGTACAGGGCAAAAGAATCTCTACCATCACTGTCATCCAACTATCCAGTTTTTCTGCAGACAAGCAATGGTATTATTTTATGTATCTTTCCAAAGATATCTTATGCATAGATAAGAAGATGCATATACAGTCTTTATGATAAAACAGTATGTACACTGTTATGTACAATGCCTGTTTCTATACATTGGATAATTTTTCTGAATCAGTATGTGAAATACTTTATTCTTTTTTTCTTTTAACGATTACATAGCCTTCCATTATATGGGTGTACAATTTCATTGTTTGAATATATACTTGTTTTCAGTCAATCTCTACTGATGATCATTTAGATTATTTCTGATCTTTCACTATTACAAATAATGTTACTGTGAATAATCTTGTAAGTATGATGATGAACACATATGTAAGGATATCTGTAGGATAAATTCCTAGAAGAGGAATTGCAGGGAAAAGGGTAAATTTTGCCAAATTGCTCTTTACAGTGGTTGCATCAATTTATGCTTCCACCATGACTTAAGAAAGTTCCTCTTTCTCCACACCTTTACCCATTTATGTGTCATGAAACTTTGGTCTTTACCAATCTGATAGGTTTAAAAATGGTATCTCAAGTGAAATTTAAATTTGCATTTCTTTTAAGTGAGATTGAGTATCTTTTCATGCATTTAAGAATTTTTTATTTTCCTTTTCTTATTCAGTAACTTTTTAACCAGAGTTGCCTGTGTTGGAGTCCTTGGAAAACTATGCAGTGGAATAGTCATAGAGAGACAGAATGACCCAATATTCATAGGGAAGAAATAATCTGGAGAGATAGCCTGTAATTTCATGAAGTTCCCCTAGCCTCAAATCTCTATAGGTAGTTGCCCTGGTTTGTGTAAACTGAGTAAGTGCTGAGACCAGGCGCTCTCATGTTGTAACCGATGTTTCTTTATGATCAAGAAAGCACTGATGATGATAAAATCGTCAGGTACCATTGGGAAGAACTAAAGGGACCTCTGAGAGAAGAGAAGATTTCTGAAGATACGGCCATATTAAAACTAAGTAAGCTCGTCCCTGGGAACTACACTTTCAGGTAAATTTAGGATCCTTCAAGTTTATCATTGGCCTTTATTTTCCTTATATGGGTTCTACATTCTTATAGGAGTTACTCTGACAGATACCAATTTAATTGTAGAGTGGTTGAAAATATAGCCTGTGGTTCCATTGATTCTTTGAGCCCTAAAGTTAATTGTGGTCACAACACAAATAACTTTTTAGGGCAAAAGCCCTTGCATAATAGATTAGGATCCACCACAGTTAGTCCTATTCAAAGTCTTATCTGGCAGTTCTCCAGACATTTTTAGGATTTCTGCCATTAAGTGAAAGGACCCGTCTTTCTTTGCCTTTTCTCAGGAAAAATCTAGCATGAACCTACTATCATCTTGTCTCTTCCCTATGGGAAATGCTTCTTCAATTTATATCTCAAAACCTTCACTTTTTAAAAATATATTTTTTATTGATTTCAGAGAGGAAGAGCGAGGGAGATAGAAACATCAATGATGTGAGAGGATCATTGATTGACTGCCTCCTGTAGGTCCCACACTGGGGATGGAGCCTGCAACCTGAGCATGTGCCCTGACCAGGAATCGAACCGTGACCTCCTGGTTAATAGGTCGATACTTTTGACACTTTTTGTGGTTTATTTGAATATGAGTTGTAGGATCTTTCTCTATTAGGGCTTTTCGGAGAATTTTATTCCAAGATAGTCCTTTTGGGAACTAGTTTCAACATTCTAGAATATGATTAATAAGAGTGTGAGGCTGACTCTAGAGTAATCCTCCTTATATTTGCACAATTCCTTGTATGTTACCAAGTACTGTGTCATCCAAACACCATGTGTACATGATACTGTCGTCATTTTATATCTGAGAAAAATGAGGCTCAGTGTATTTACTAAACTGCACTGAATTGCAGATTTTCTAACCCCCATGTCAGGGCTCATTCTACTCTGTTCCTTGACTTGACCCATATGTATTTTGTTTGCTTCCTAGAATGCTCTTCTCAGACTGTTGGAGTTCTGCCTATCCTTAGGGACCTACAGTTTTCTGTGAGGCTCTCTTAGATCCCTCCAGAGAGAAGAGAAGGTTGCACTCAGTGCCCTTATGTGGCGCCTACCACGGTGCAACAGCTTATTCTTGGGTGTCTGTGTCCCCCACCAGATCTGATAATAATCAAGTTTTAGACACTACCAGAGACATAGTGATGAATGTCGTAGCACAACACCTACGATATAAATACATATGCAGGTTCTGACTTAGCATCACTGTCACTGACAAGACTTCAGGAGAATGAAAGGTAGTTGCCATTTAACAAGGTTGAAGCCTTTTCATTGGCTTAAAATGGAAAAGTGAATTGATTTTTCTTAGATTTCTAATATAGGAATTTTAACATTTATGGGATTTAATCTGGGCTAGGTTGATGTTTTGAAAAATAACCACTGGTTTTTGAGCATTTACTCTGTGTTTAGTACTGTTCTGAGCTCTTTGCAAGTAGAAGGTCATTTAAACCTTATAAAAATAATGTAATTACTCTTATTTTATAGATTAGAAAATTTAGGTACCAAGAGGTTAAGTAACTTGCCCAAGGTCACAAAAGAAGTCTGAGCTTTTAACCAAGGTTAAAAACAGCGTTTCAGATGGATAGGGTATTAGGGATCTATTCTTTTTTTCTAAGCCTCAATCTATGAACTGACAGGGTTGAGTTTGATTAGCATTAAGGTCCAATCTGATTCCACTCATTTTTCCTCTCCCATGCTTCTACATGGCAGTACATGGCAGTATCCTTTTTCCCAGCCCTGTGGTCAGCTGCTATTTGTTTCCAGGATTCTTGCATGTAATCCAGGGACCGAGGTGAAAGTCAGTAATGGGCAGCTTCTATTTTGCCACTTACCTATAACTTGCTCTTATTCTGAAATAGGAGACAAATAGTGCATGTAAAAAACAAAAAACTGAAAACAATAGGAAAACTGGAAAAAAAGGAAACTTCTGTGGATTTTTCTTCTGATGTTTGTTGATTTGCATGTCTACTAGTATGTATCTGATGTTTTTGTACTCTTTCTCAAGGCTGTAATACCAAAAATCCCCTCCAGACCATAGGAAAAGGTGAGGCTGTGGGGGAAAAAAACCCACAGATGCCTGGCTCTGTCTGTGGCTGCTGGTGAGATTTAAACAAATGACATGTTTTTTTTATGCTTTTTATCTTTCTGTCAGCAAAATGGAAGGAGCCCAAACCTCCTTGCTTGCTTATGCTCACATTTTGAGGTAGTAAAAGCAGCTTTAGGCTGTTCAGCTGGAAGGCATCATTTTGGTAAATGCCTTGTTCTTATAAATGAACATTATTTTTCTCTTTCAAATCCTGTTTCACACTGGCACAAACTGTGAGACTGTTGCATAGGAGAATTCATTTCCATCTTGGGCTCCTGTCTTACCACACCATCCCTCTTAGTCCATCCCAGAGGCTGTCTGCTCAGGATGTCCATTCCTGTGAGTGTACATAGCCAAAAAGGATGGTGGGGAGGAGAGCCTGTTGCAGTCAGAGCACTAGTTAATGTAGTGTCTCTGTACCCCATCGGAATAGGGACCAGGGACTCTCTCTTAAGACTTGGTTTCTAGGCTTGGGAGTCAGAGAACTGGGCTTGCATCTTGGCTCAGAATAGGGTTCTGGGCAGGTTACTTAGCCTCTCTAAGACACTTGTAAATTGAGATTGATAACTGCTGTGAGGGCTAGATCAGACAGTGCTTGTGCGGTCCCAGCACACAGACACATGCAGGCAGCAGAGCAAAACAGTGCTGGAGACACACTGCCTGGACTCAGGTCCTAACTCCACTACTTTCAAGCGTGGGCGAGTTACTTGACCTCTCTCTGCCTTAGACTTTCATATGTGTAAGGAGTACAATGAAGATAGGACTTTATAGAGCTGTTGTTTATTGAGTTGTAAACCACTTGGAACAGTGCCTGGTACACAGTGAACCCTTAGTGTTAGCTTCTAGTATTACTCTACCTTTCTAAGAGGAACGGTAAGAATTGGTTACTAATTAGTAACCCTTCCACCTTGGTATTTCTTATTCTTGATTTTCAGTCCTCTTATGTTTCTTCTTCTTTACTGAAAACCATTCCTGATTGCACTCCTCTCTCTGCCCTAATAGTTTGACTGTAGTAGACTCAGATGGAGCTACCAACTCGACCACTGCAAGCCTGACAGTGAACAAAGCTGTGGATTACCCCCCCGTGGCCAATGCGGGCCCCAACCAAGTAATCACCCTGCCCCAAAACTCCATCACGCTCTTTGGGAACCAGAGCACTGATGACCATGGCATCACCAGCTATGAGTGGTCACTCAGCCCCAGCAGCAAAGGGAAAGTGGTGGAGATGCAGGTAGGAGGGAAGAGTTTCTGTCTTTTCTTGCCCAGGGGAATTGGAGCTACTATAGGTTCACCTATCTAAGGCTTGTTCTTGCTGTATTTTAATGACCAAAGTCAGATTTGTGCATAGAATATTTGAATTTCTTTTTAAATCCAGAAAGTTTAAGGAGCCTTTAATTAACATACTCTCAAAAACCTTTATCTTAAATGTTTAGTATCAGGGGAAAAGACTGGATGAGAAATGGTAGCTGCATGGGTGTGAATCTTACAAATTGGAGTACATTGCCCAACTAGGTGGTGAGCTCTTCTCTGCAGATATTTAATAAGAGACTAGATCTGTCACCACACAGGTAACATAAGTAAGTAAAGAAAACTGGATGGGGCTGTGGTGAACCAGAGATCTTAATCCCTGACTAAAGGGGCCAGCTGCTTCTAAGGCCCAGCTGGCTGTGGCCAGATGGAAGTATGGTCCCATTATTATCAGGAAAACATAAATATAGACTTTTATGTGAAAGTTTACAACTTTTAAAACATATAGGCCAAACAAACTGTCTGCAAGAGGCTGTCAGGTTTTCCCACTGTTCTAAAGTTCCTGTATTGGAGTTTGTTCTAAGTTATATGTAGTGTTCCTTGTGACACTCAGGAGTCTATGTTTCTAGATTTGAGGCATGACTTAACCCTACCAGACCGCTGTACCAATTTTTTGGTGATTTCTGAATCTGCTGCTATACCGCTGTACCTAATTTTTGGTACTTTGCCTAGTATGTGAAAAAAATGCGTAGACCTATTTTCTACAATGTCTCCAAGTTCCATCTTATTCTAACCACTTGTTTGCATGTAACTAACATTTTTCTGTATCATGTTGGTTTTTTCTCTTTAATGCTCAGGAGCCCAGGTATAGGGGACAGTTAGGTTCAGGGCCTCAGGTCTGGTAGACTTAAAGCTCACATTTCACATGGGTTTAGTTTAAGTATTGTGTTGGGTTTCTCTGTTGCTGCAGAATCTGCACAAATCTGTAAGGGTCAGCATAGCGTTACATAGCATCTGGAATTGCTGCCATGTTTTATTGAGCGCTTCATTAGGATCACTGTGCAGCCTTCGTAGGAAGAACACTTTTAAAAATTGTGTTATATATTCACTAGAGGCCCTGTGCATGAAATTCGTGCACAGGGGTGGGGGTGTCCCTTAGCCCGGCCTGCACCCTCTCCAATCCAGGACCCCTTGGGGGATGTTCTAAACCAGCAGTTGGACATCCCTCTCACAATCTGGGACTGCTGGCTCCTAACCGCTTGCCTGCCTGCCTGCCTGCCTGCCTGCTCACCCCCTAACCATTCCCCTGCCAGCTTGATTGACACCTAACTGCTCCCCTGCTGGCGTGATTGCCCCTAAAAAACCGCTGCTGGCCTGGTCGCCCCATGCACCCTGCTGTTTGGTCGTTACTGTCACTGTGATGGCATCCTGGACAATTTACATATTCCTCTATTATTAGTATAGATTAGCGCTAAGGACCTGTTCATATATTCCCTTCCCTTGTGAGAGCTCTGATTTTATTTGAAACTGCTGCTGTGTCAGGGAGGATTGTTCCCTTTAGGGGAGAAACTTTTTAACAAGATGTCCCATAGTGTCTGATCCAGCATTCACTAATTTTGCTGAATTCTAGGAGGTAGTAGCCTAGTACCAATAGGTTTAGAAAACTGGGTAAGTCTCTTAGACCCAAGCAGGACCTAGCGTATGATGTGATTCTGGGAGGCTGCTTTTCCATGGCCTGTATTTCTATATCCAGGGTGTTAGAACACCAATCCTGCAGCTCTCTGCCATGCAAGAAGGAGACTACACGTACCAGCTAACAGTGACTGACACAATAGGACAGCAGGCCACCGCTCAAGTGACTGTTATTGTGCAGCCTGGTAAGTTCCAACCTTGAGGTGCAGGCTCTTCTATTGGCTGGTCCCTTTAACCTTGGGGAGAAGAGGGTTTGCTTTTGACCTGTATGTCTGTCTTCTAGAAAACAACAAGCCGCCACGGGCAGATGCAGGCCCAGATAAAGAGCTGACCCTTCCCATGGATAGCACAACCTTGGATGGTAGCAAAAGCTCAGATGATCAGAAAATTATCTCGTATCTCTGGGAAAAAACACAGTGAGTATTGACACAAAGCCTTACTTATGCAAAGACTCCAGACATTTGCAGAGCAAGATTTTACTTATTTTTTTTTTTAGTGTACTTGCTGTGCCCTGACCTGGTGGCTCAGTTGGTTGTAGCATCATCCCATACACCAAAAGGTTACAGGTTTAATCCCCATTTGGGGCATGTATAGAGGTCACTGGTTGATGTTTTTCTCCCCCACCCCCTCTCTCCTTCCCTCCCTTCTTCAGTCTCTAAAAATCAATAGAAATAAACAAATTTAAAAATCAATTAAAATATTCTCAGGCAGGGATTAAAAAAAATTTTTTTTAAGTACTTACTTGCTCTTGTTGGCTTATTCAAGGGGGCTGTGACTGAGAAAGAAAGGTTTGCAATGCCAAACTTCAACACTAAGAAAATTATATAAGATAATTTTTGTAAGAAATAAAGAATGCTTACCATCAGCTAGTCCCCAGGTAGTATTTTGCAGTCCTGGTGCTTTTACAGGTATAATCCATCTGCTGAAATGCATAGTTTAATTACACTTGAGAGGCAGGATGGAAGGGGTAATGGAGCAGAAAAATACTGTTGCTCAAAATTAACTGGGTAAGGCTGGCAGGGGGACGGGGCAGAGCAGCGATCAAGGAGAATTGAAAATTCATCTACAAAATGAAAGCATTGCTCTATTACTATATCCTCGAAGACCACACTTACCAACTACATTAGCCAGAGGAGAAAGGCAGTGACCAAATAATACTAATTAAAATGGAATCACCTAATTGAGCCATTCCTGGCTCTCACAGTTTCTTTCAGCTCCTTTAAACCATAACAACTGGAACTCAAAAGTAATGAAAGAATTCCAAGGAAGAGTTAAATGTTAAAAAGGAGTTAATTTCTCTGTTTCCAAAGGTAGCACTCATAGAACAGACTGGGTGTTTTTTTGTTTTTGGTCAGGGGCATTAGAGGTGGATGGGAAAGGGCTGTAATTGGACTACAGAAACTACTTACTATTGGTGAGTTGGATTCTAGAAATTATTTTTCTCAGCTCTTGTTTCTATCTTTTGGAGAACCTAATCTTTCTTCTTCAGCCCCATGTGTTTTAATTATAAGTATTGAAGATACTAGTGATGAATCTTTCGGTTGAGTTTTATTCGTGTTTACAGCAGAAATAATGCTTATTAGCAAGCTTCTTTGGGGAGAATCTGTTTCAGGAGGCGCTATTAGAGTCAGAGGTCATAAGTTTAAATAGCAAAACAAAACAGAAAAGTCTACAGATTTCTCTGGTTGTCCTGTAGTTTTAAGAAAAGCTCTGGGGTGTTTTGACCCTTGAGCAGGACTCAAGAGTATGTGCAGCGTCGTGCCTGGGCAGCTGATACACAGCTCACTCGCCTACTGCAAGCTGCTGAGTGAAGCCCCAGGGGAGAAGGAAGGATGCCCGGAGTGCCTGGTCCCCTGTGGTCCCTGTCTGGGAGCTGGCAGGAGCTTTGCTTTCAGAGCTACTAGGAAGAGGATGCTTTTGCCCTGAGAATTCCTCTGCAGCTTTGGCCCACTTCCTTTGTCTGACTTTTCAGCAAGAGTGAGTTTGGCATATGATTAAGAAATGTGTTTTGCTTCTTTGCTGGCAAGAGCTGGACCAACTACTGGGCCAGAAATACTTTTCAGAAACATCACTATGAAATCATTCTTTTGATCAGAGACCTGCTTAGAACACTTCCTTCCTTTTACAAACTGGAACAGCGAAGATTTTAATGTTCTAGAAGCTCATATAAAGGATAAAGCTAAATCTGTTTGAAAACTGGTGAATGGAATTTTCTGATCAGCAGGTAGCCTGTATTATGGGGCCAAATGACACTCTGTTCAAATGGAATATTTTAAAATTTGTCCTCTGAAGGTCTGGGAAACAATAGTTCATGTCTCATCTGAGGCAATAATTGTCTGCACCTGCTGAGTCAGGGACAAGGGAGCAGCAAACGGGTACAACTCCAGCCTCTGGTTTCTCTCTTTGTCCAGGGGACCTGATGGGGTGCAGCTCGAGAAGGCTAACAGCAGTGTCGCCACTGTGACGGGGCTGCAAGTGGGAACCTACGTGTTCACCTTGACTGTCAAAGATGAGAGGAACCTGCAAAGCCAGAGCTCTGTGAATGTCATTGTCAAAGAAGGTACCTCCCTACCTCGGGTTGGTGCAGCAGCCTCAGGATTAGATAACTGAGGAATTCATCATCTCTTGTTTGGCTGCAGAAATTGATTTAGAGACAGGGTGTGGGGAAGAAAGTTGGGGTAAGGGCAGCCGATACTTGCTTTTTTAAAACAATCTTCATTGAGAGTGGTTGTAAGGTGATTTTTCATTTCTTGCATTCCCCTCTCTCCCTTTCTTCTTTCCTTCGTTCTTTATTGAATAG